GTGAAAGGAGCGCTGGGGCGAGAAGACGACCTGAGTTCTAGTCCCAGCTCCACTCCTAACTAGCTTTGTATCTGGGCCTCAGTTTCCTCATCTGTAAAATGAGGCAGTTGAATGGGAGAACCTCTAAGTTCCCTTCTAACTTGATCATTTGATGGTTATTCTTCTTATCATGATGCTCTCCTTTCACTTATCCCCTAGAGCCATGTGTATCTTTCTGGTCTTTCACCTTGACTTTTGACTATTTGCCTGTTCTTAGAACGCTGATGTATAACATCTCGAATCTTATTCTGATCAACACTCAGTCCTCTCTGTGCCTGTTTTTTAGCTGCCTTCAATATCTAGGCAAAGTATTTTTAACCCTTTCATTGTGTCATTCATGGACATGCATGCACGTGCATATCTTAGCTCATATTCTATAAAAAAGGGATGTGTATGATGCAGAAGTTACACTGGTACACTGTGCCCATATTTGTGTATCTGTTCAGTTGAGCCACATTAGACCACTTCACAGTACAGAAGTTAAGAAATAAGGAAAAGGCTACTCCTTGCCTGCCACCATCACTGTCATGGAGATATGCAGAGAAAGAGCTATCCCCAGTGAAAATCAACATGCCCGGCCCTGAATGTTGGAAGGCCCCATACTAGAGTGATTGCTACCAGGGGTGGGGAACCTTCAGCCTCAAGTCCACACATGGGCCTCTAGGTCCTCAAGTGTGGCCCTTTGACTGAATCTAAGCTTCACAGAACAAATTCCCTTAATAAAAGGATTTGTTCTGTAAAACTTGGACTCATTCAAAAGGCTGCACCCAAGGATCTAGAAGGCCTCAAGGTCAAAGGTTCCCCACCCCTGATTCTAGACAATAACTTAAGGACAGAGTTGATGGAAGAGGAAGGAGCTTCCACTAGTTAGGAAAGACCTGAGGCTCACATACATGCAGTCAACTCATAAATCACCGCAACCAACACCATGCCAAAGATGTTGGAATACTCTGACTCTATCACCACCCCACCTCCAGGTGGCAGATTTCCCTTGGATACTTTTTCCCCTTGAAGGCTACCCTCCATGCTCGCTGCTGCCATACTTCATATATATCACAACGTTGAGGGACACCTTCCCTCCATAGGGATACACCATCACGCACCCTGCCTATTGAGCCATAGAATCCCACAGAAAGAGCAGCATGACATTGGGAAGGAGGCACTGAAATGAGAGTCTGAATCCCTCCCTGGGTTTCAGTTTCCTCATCTATGAAAATGAGGGGCTTAGGCTAGATGACCCCAGGCCCCTTTGAACTCTCAATCTGTGATCTTGGGATCTTTTTTAGGGCTTATCAGACTAATCAATTTCTTGGAAATGTCAGAGCACATGGGCCTTTTTCCTTCCAGCTTCCTCAGGCAAAGCCTTTGTGCCACTGAAGGGATATATCTTCCCTTTCCCTCCAATGGGAAAAATAATATAATTGAGAAAGGTCAGAAACTAGGCAGCCTAGCAGATGGCCATTACGTGACAAAAAAAAAAGCAATTTTTGGAGTGAGAAGAGGAAAACTGCCTTAAAAAAAAAAAAAGACCTTGTGTGATGTCCATCCCCTGTGCTGCCTGTCCAACTTCTGCTCCCATCTTCCCTTCTCCTCTTCCCATCCCTTTCTTTAATTATTGTCTAGTTGTCTCATGTATAAATTTTGTCTCCCCAAGTAGACTGTGAACTCCTGGTGGTCAAGCATGACAGCTTCCTTTTCCTCATGTCTCTCATAGTATCTAGCATAGAACTGTGCATATAGAAGGTACTCAATAAAAGCTTGTCAGCTGATCTCTCCCTCTTGCTTTCTGATTCTTCCCTTCACATTCCCTCCATCTCTCTCTTCTGTTCTGCCTTTTCTTGTGTTTCCCTCCCCTTCTCTCCCTTTCTGAAACACAAGAGCTACAGGTGGACGCCGAGAGGGAATCCAGGAAGGTAGAGATTGTTAACTGTGGCTCTTACGTCACCTTCTTCTCTTTCCATTCAAACATCTTCATGCTTATTGATCTTCAGTCATTGCTAAAGTTGCAACAATTGTCTTCATTCACTCTATCTTACCATCAACCTCTCGTAATGTGGTTTCTGATGATTCTATATGACTGAAACTGTTCTTTCCAATGTTATCAATAATATTTTAACTGTGATAACAATTGCCTTTTCTCAGTCCTTTTCCTGTACTCGAGTCTATAGTTCATAAATATGTATCAAGTGCCTACTATGTGCCATGCACTGTGCTAAGCAATGAGGATAAAAAAAAAAGAGAGACAAAAGACAGTTCCTGCCCTCAAGGAGTTCATGAGCTAATGGGGAGACAACAATATGTATAAACAAGCTACATACAGGATGAATGGAAGGTAATTAACAGAGGGAAGGTCCTGGAATTGGGTTCCAATAGGGGTTGGTGAAGGATTCCTGTAGAAGGATTTTAGCTGGGATTTAAAGGAAACCAGGGAAGTCAATAGTGAGAGGGCAGGAGGAAGGGCATTCTAGACACGGAGGACAGCCTGAGGGATGGAGTGTCTTGTTTGTGAAACACCAACAGCAAAAACAGCACTTTTTGACAATGTTGACCACTCTCTCCTTCTAGATAATCTCTCCTCCCAGATAATCTCTCCTCCCAGATAATCTCTCCTCCCTGGATTCTATGACATTGCTCAATCCGGGTTCTCTTCCTGCCTATCTGACCACTCCTAGTCTCCTTTGCAAGATCATCTTCTATCTCCCTTTGCCTTAGTGTAACTGTCCTGGGACCTCTTCTCTTTGCTCCCTACAGTCTCGCCCTTGGTACATTTATCCATCTTCATGGGTTCAATTGTCAGCTCTGTGTGTGTGTGTGTGTGTGTGTGTGTTTGTGTGAATGACTCAGTCAGTCAATAAGTGTTTATTAAGCACCTACTATGTTCCAGGCACTGTGCTAAATTCTGGGGATTAAAAAAATAAATTTAAAAAAGACAAAAGATGGTCCCTGTAGAAGATGGGATTTTAGTTGAGATTTGAAGAGAACTAAGGAAGCCATGAGGTGGAGAAGAGAAGAGAGAGCATTCCAGGCATGGAGGACAGCCAGAGAAAATGCCCAGAGCAGAGAGATGGAGTGTCTTGTTTGTGGAAAAGGAAGGAGGCCATTGTAGTATGTGGAGGAAGGTGTATAAAGTATAAGAAGACTGGAGAGATGGGGTAGAGGGAGCTAGGTTATAAAAGGCTTTGATGTCAAATAGGATTTTGTATTTGATCCTGGTTGTGACAGGGGAGTTTGTTGAGTAGTGGGGGGAGGGCGACATGATCAGACCTGAAGATATGTATATCCAGTCCCAGTCTCCTGAACTCGAGTCCTGCAATACCATCTACCTGGTGAATATCTCCACATTGTTGATACAAAGCAATCTCAAACTCAACATGTCAAAAAAAATTTGGGGCAGCTAGGTGGCACAGTGGATAGAGCACTGGCCCTGAAGTCAGGAGGACCCAAGTTCAAATCCGGCCTCAAACCAAACACTTGACTCTTACTAGCTATGTGACCCTGGGCAAGTCACTTAACCCCAACTGCTTTAAAAAAAAAAACAGACAAAAAAAATTTCATTATAGTCACCATTAAATCCACCTTCCCTCCAAACATACCATTTTCCTTCTAGTCATCCTCTTTTGTAACCTCAGAGACCTGGTTAGCTTCTGCTAATCTACAGCTTAGCACAGTGCCTGGCACACAGCAGGCACTTAATAAATGTTCGATGACTATTCTGCTTTTCCTTTAACTCTCAGATCCAATCAGTTGCCAGGTCCTGTTTAGTCTGCTTGCACATCTGTCACATCAGTCCTTTGGGCTTCACTCCAAGTTATCTCTTGTGTGGGCCCTCATTACCCTGCACTTAGACAATTTCAGTTGACTCCTAATTGGTCTTCCTACTTCCAGTCTTTCCCCTCTTCAGTCCACAAAAGTGTCAAGAAATTTTCACAAGGCACAGAGGGAAGTCATTATATCAGTCCTAAGTTCAGAAATCTTGAGTGTTTCTGTATTGCTGCTAGGATAAAAGATAACCTAGTATTTAAGACCTTATGTAGTCTGCCCCCTGACTCTTTTCATACCATTATTCTTCACACACTATGTCCCAGAAAATTGAATTGGTTGCCTAACCTTGACATTGCATCTCCCATCACCACCATGCATTCTCAAGAGCAATCTCTGTGCCTGGATTATATGCCCTCTTACCTCCCACTTTGCAGAATCCTTCCAAAGGTTCCTCTCAAGTTCTGTCTCTCCTGTGAACCCTTCCTGATCCCATTAGTTGTTAAATTACCTTCTGTTTACTTATCTGGGTTCATGTTGTGTTCCATTGATAGAGGGCAGGGAATTTCTTTTTTTATTATTGTATCCCCATTGCCTCACTCAAAGTATGTGTTTAATAAATGTCTGTTGAATTGAATTTCTATGTTAAACCTTGAAAAGAAAAGCAATAAATGAATGATCTAAAAATGGGAGGTCTAAAAATAGCACTTTCCTTGCTTCAGTCTGAGGGCTCTATGTATATAGCACAGTGCCCTATACATAGATGGAAGGGAATAAGTATTTATTAAGTATCAACTATGTGTCAAGCCCTGTGATAAGCACTTTACCATTATAATCTCATTTTAGCCTCATAACAACCCTGGAAGTCAGGTACTATTATTATGCCCATTTGACAGTTGAGAAAACTGAGGCAGATAAAGGGCAAGTGACTTGCCCAGGGTCACACATCTTGTAAATATCTGAGGCTGGATTTGAACTCCGGTCTTTCTGACTCCAGGCCCAGCCCTCTATCCACTGCATCACCTAGCTGCCTCTTCACACACTCATCTGTGTGCTCACTTGTTGAGTGAGATAAGCAATTTGTCAATCTATACTAAGATCTCAGTGAATTTAAAACCAAAGAGTCCTTTGAAGACTCTTTGGCTCAGTGTCATTGCCAAGTTTACATTTCATCGTTGTGATCCTCTGTAGATGAGTCAGATATGGTCCATCCTCCCTGGGAGAATCAAACAGCCACTGTGGAATTTGTGCTCCTGGGATTCTCAACTGTTTGGCAGCTGAATCTCGCCCTGTTCACCACCTTTTTAGCTGCATACATCTTCACTGTCACTGGGAACACACTCATTGTCCTCCTTGTTGTGCTCGACCATCATCTTCACACCCCCATGTACTTTTTCCTGGTAAACCTTTCCTTCCTGGAGATCGGGTATACCTCGAACATTGTCCCGAAGATGTTGGCAAGCCTCTCTGCTGGGCAGAACACCATATCGGTGGCCAGCTGCCTCACACAGTTTTATTTCTTTGGATCCCTGGCAGCCACAGAGTGTCTTTTGCTGGCAGCAATGTCCTACGACCGCTACGTAGCAATCTGCCGGCCTCTTCACTATACCATCCTCATGAATGGCCAGGTGTGCATTGTTCTGGCTGCCAGCTCCTGGGTCAGCTGCTTCCTCCTCACAGCATTAACCATCATACTCCTGTCCAGGCTGACCTTCTGTGGACCCAATGAAATCGATCATTTCTTTTGTGACTTTACTCCCCATGTCCAACTCTCTTGCACAGACACCTCACTGATGGAAACCACTGCCTTTGCCACCTCTTCTGCTGTGACGCTGGTCCCTTTTCTCCTAATCACAGCTTCCTACTCCTGCATCCTCACTATCCTGAGAATCCCCTCCAATGCTGGCCGTCGCAAGGCCTTCTCCACCTGCTCCTCACACTTCACTGTGGTCACCATGTTCTATGGGACACTAATCGCCACATATCTTGCACCCTCGGCCCACCCATCCCAGTTTCTCCGAAAAGTGTTTTCTCTGTTGTACACCATCCTGACACCCATGTTCAATCCCAGCATCTATAGCCTAAGGAACAGAGACATCCATGAGGCCCTGAAGAGATATTTGAGCAGAAAGACAGTTCTTCTCCAATGATGCTGGGGAAACAGAAGTGTTTGTCTGGAGACAGTATCCCGTGAAGAGCCAGGGTCATCACACAAACAAAGCAACCACCAAAGTAGACTAAATAGATATGTGTGTATATAAAGATGTGCACTTACATATAAAAAGCTCAAATATTCTGTTATTCGGGAAATAGGTAAAGTAAGGTGGCCAGGCACTTTAGATGCACTGAAGACAATCCTGGGTTTTCATAACCTGTACCAGGTAAAAGAGTGTCTAAGGAAGCTCCTCTCTAGATTTTCCTATTTCTTGGTAAATGACCACACATCTAAGTTATATTGGCAAAAGAGACACAATCAAGTGCTTAATAATCTATCACATCTGGAAGTCCAGGCATCTTTCCTGCAGCCACGTCAAGCAAAGAGAAAGCACCTTTAGTCCTTTGGCATCTGAGGGCAACTGATCATGGAAAATACAAAGTCAGAAAACAAAGGTGGCCAAAGGGACCCCTGAGGCACTCTTGAGGAGTGTCTCTCCTCACTGGTCACTATAGCTATAAAGGGAAGAGGGGAGATGAGTCAGCTCCTCTCCTCTGTCTCTTCTTACCTGTCCCCAGTCCTTCTTCCCTTTCCTGTAGTAGCTAGCCACTAAAGTTAGTGGGAAGTCAGGTAGGGAGAAAGTTGTATCAATAACTAGTATATATGGTATATTTGGTAAGTAGTGTATACACACACACACACACACACACACACACACACACAGAGTATGTTCTTCTCTATGCAAATCCACAGTGTAAGACTACACCCAGACAAGAAAATCTGAGTGCTGCGTTCCCCAAGCACCAGTGCATCTACAGATTAGGAATTGTTCACCCTTGGAGTGGATCATCTTTGATGTGATATCATATAACTCCAGTCCAATATTTAGCTCCCCTCTCTAACACTTGCAACAGTGAAGGTCATACAGCCTGTTTGAAGATGGCCACTTCCAGGGAATTCTCTACCTCCCAATTCAGTCCACTCCATATTTGGACATCTCTAATTGTTAGGAAGGCTTGAGGCAGCCAGAAGGTACAATGGATAAGCACCAGCCTGAAGATTCATCTTCCTGAGTTTAAATCTGGCCTCAGACACTTACTAGCTATGTGAGCCTGGGCAAGTCATTTAACCCTTCTTGCCTCAGTCTCCTCATCTGTAAAATAAGCTGAAAAATGAAATGGCAAACCACTCTGGTTTCTTTGCCAAGGAACTTTTGTGACCCCAAATGGGGTCACAAAGAGTTGGACATAAATGAACAACCACCTTCCCTATGAGCCCAAATCTACTTATATATTATTATATTATATATGTTTTATATATATGTATATGTATATATTATATAGCTCTGCCCACTTCCCTACATCCTGAGGGAGAACACCATCAAAATAATACTAAGATTTTCTTTTTTCACTAAAAGCCTCACCTGTTTTACTTTTTTCAATAGTAATGATGAAAATAGTTCATGGCATTTGTAAAACTGAACCTCAGTTTTATGTTTACCTAAGGCAAAGATTGTTGTCCTTTTAATTTCTTATGACAATTATAATAGTTAACATTTACATAGTGCTTTAAGGTGTGCAAAGTGCTCTGTGTGCGTATACAGATATGTATATAGTATATTGTGTGCTGTTGTGTTGTTTTAGTCATGTCTGACTCTTTGTGACCCCATTTGGGGTTTTCTTGGCTAGTGGTTTGCCATTTCCTTCTCCAGCTCATTTGACAGATGAGGAAACTGAGGCAAACAAGGTTAAGTGACTTGTCCAGGGTTACACAGCTAGTAAGTATCTGAGGCCAAATTTGAACTCATGAAGATGAGTCTTCCTGGTTCCAAGTCCAGCACTCTATTATTATTATTATTATTAATAATAATAATAATTTATTTTATTTATTATATATTATATATTATATGAAATATATGATATATAATTATAAATATTATTGTTTTTACTTTACAGATGAGGAAACAGAGGCTGAGAAGGTATAAGTGACCTGCTTAGGTTTATACAACTAGCAAATACCTGAGGCAACATTCAAACTCAGGTCTTCCTAACTCCAATCCAATTATGTAAACTATACCACCTACTCACCTATGAAACAAGGCTCTCTCAAAGTGTACTCCTTTGCAGTAAATAGATTCAATTCTTAATTTACTATAGGTGACTCAGCTCTAGATAGGCTAGCTTACTATTCTTTCTCCTGCAATCCAGTGAGGAGCTCAAGTATTATATGAAAGGCACTTTGCTAGATGCTGAAGATTTTTTTAAAATATTGAAAAACAGTCCCTGCCCTCAAGGGGCTTACATTCTAATGGTGAAGTAAAGGTAAGTAAATACAAAGTAATTTCAGAAAGAAGCAGACACTAACAACTGTGGCAGGGAAGAGAACAAGAGAAGTTTGCCGAGAGAGGGGAGCAATTGAGCTAAGCCTTGGATAAAACGATGAATTCTAAAAGGTGGAGGTGAGGAAACAGTACCTTCCAGGCATAAAAATAGCAACAGAATAGCAAATTGTAGGAATGGTTAGTAGGCCAGTTACCTGGAACATAGAGCACATGAAACGGAGTAATATAAAATAAGTCTGGAAAGGTAAGTGAAGACCAAATCATGGAAAGCTTCAAATGTACGTTGAAGAGTTTTTTTCCACTAGGCAACAGGGACCCACTGAAGTGAGTAACAGAGTGATATATGATTAGACCCAGGTCTTAGATTCCACACACTTCGTAGCCACTAAGATAGGGGCTCTATGGGCCATATAAGGAGAAAAGGAAGAAAGAGTAAAACCCTGGAATCAAGTGGGGCAAGAGAAAGAGAAGAGCTTTAACAGAGAAGAAGCAATCCATTTGATTTATACATCACAAGCATTAGGCAAATCCCTTCTCTTTTACCACCTTCTTATTTGTATAGAGGGTGTAGGAAGAAAGAGAGGAAAAAGTAGAAGTCAGAGTGAAGCACACATATAACAATCATAACTGTGAATGTGAACGGTGTTAATTCATGCATAAAATGGAAAAGGATGGTAGAATGGATTAGAAAAGAGAATCTGACAACGTTGTTTATAAGAACCAACTTTGAGACACAAAGATTCATATAAAGTTAAAATGAGGGACTGGAATAAAATCTATTATGTGTCAGCTGAACTCAGAAAAGTAAGGGTAGCAATCATGATTTCAGATAAGATTACAATAAGTATAGACATGATAAAAAAAGATAAACTGGCAAAGTATATTATGCTTAAAGGCACCAAAAATTTTTAAAAATCAACAGCAATACTTAAGGCATACACATCTAATAGCATGCCATATAAATACTTAAAGGAAAAGTTAATCAAATTAAAAGGAGAAATAGATAATAAAAATATAATAGTTTGGAACCTTAATGCACCCCCTTACAAACCTAGACAAATCTAATATAAAGATGAAAAGATAAAGAATTAAAAACCTGAACAGAACATTAGAAAAATCAAAGATTATTGATCTCTGGTGATTACCAAATGGGAACAAAAGGGAATTCACACACTTCTAAGATTGACATGGCACCTTTGCAAAAACTAATGTGTATTGTAGCATAAAGAACTCACCAAAAATGTAGCAAGACAGAAAAACTAAACATTATTTACAGATCATGATGAAATAAAAATTACATCCAGTAAAGCACCATTAAAGAAATAATTAAAGAGCCATTGGCAAATAAATAACAGGCCCCTGAAGAACTGGTGAGTCAAAGAATAAATTGTAGAAGCAACAGAAAATTTCATTTAAAAATAACAATGATGGGACATCACACTATAACTTATGAAATACAGCTAAAGCAATTTTTAGGGAAAATTTTATAATTAGTAATGTTTTTCATTAACAAAAGAACAAATCAATGAATTGAGTACAAAGCTTTTTAAAAAAACCCTTTTACAACAACAAATCAATAATCCCCAACTAAGCAACAAAATTGAAATCCTAAAAATTAAAGAAAAGATAAATAAAATGAAAGCAAAAAGAACACTGAACTGAAAAATGTAACTAAGAGTAGTTTTCTTTGGGGGTGGGGAGAAGTGGAACTAATAAAATAGATAAATAATTAGCCCTCCTGATTTTTATAAAGAAAGAGTAGAAAACCAAATTGTTTATATCAGAAAAGAAAGAATTTAAAAGATGAAAGAAATAAAGGAAATTATTAAAAAAACTATTTTGCTCAATTACATACTAATAAAACTAATAACTAAGAGAAAATAAATGAACACTTTAAAAATATAAAATACTTAGATTAACAAAAGAAGAAATAGACTATTTCAATGACAAATATCAGAAAAACAAATTGCAAAAGCCATAAATGAACTACCCCCCCAAAAAAATGCAGTACCAGATACATTTACAAGTGAATTCTAACATTCAAAATCATTTCGATTCTACACAAACTGTAGTGTAAGAAAAGAAAGTATCCTTCTGATCCCTTTCTATGATACAAATTTGATCTTGATATCTCAATCAGGAAGACACAAGGTAGAAAAAGAAAACTATAGATCAATATTTCTAAACAACACGGATACCGAAACTTTTAATAAAATATTAGCAAGCAGGCTACAACAAAAGATTAAGAATGCAGGGCTGATTCAACAAAAGAAAGACTATAAATATAATAAGCTTTGTTAATATACATAATAAAACTATATGGTTATACTAATAGATGCTGAAATGGCTTTTGACTGAATTCACATTCATTTTATTAATTTTTTAATTAACTAATTAATTTTTAGTTTGCAACATTCACTTCCATAAGATTTTGAGTTCCAAATTTTCTCCCCCTACTTTCCCTCCCTTCTACCCCAAGACAGCATACAATATGATATGGACTCTCCATATACATTCCTATTAAACATATTTTCACATTAGTCATGTTATAAAGAAGAATTAGAACCAATGGGAGGAACCACAAGAAAGAAGAAACAGAAAGAGAGAGAGAGTGAGAGAGAGAGAGAGAGTGAATAGTATGCTTCAATCTGCAT